GAGAATTTTTTCTGATAGGTGGAGTAATCATAGAAGGCTTTCTTAGCTAGCCAAGAACTGGATGTTAAATCACATCAATACCTACTTGGATCCAAGTGTTTCTGGTGGAAGCTATGTCCTGTTCCTTCTCTGTATCCTTTCCCTAGCCATGGATTCTGGCCCACAAAGTGTGGGGACAGAATAATGTTGAGCACTAGACTAAAAATGTAGAATTTTTGGATTCAGGCCCTGCCTTTTCCACTAGCTTATTGCATGATCTTTGGCAAGCCATTTTCCTCTGCGGCACTCAGTTTCCTCATCTGTAAAGTAAAAAAGATTGGCCCAGATGCCATCTGGGTTTCCTTCTCGCCCTAGGACATAGGGTTCTGGACCCAAATTTCTAACAAGGATTCCTATCAATCAATCAGTAAACATTTATTAAACACCTATTATGTTCCAGGCACTGTGCTGAGTGCTGGGAATTAAAAAAAAAAAAGACAGAAGACAGTCCCTGCCCTGAAGGAGCTTACAATCTAATGGTTCCTATCTGATAGGGGAAAAAAAAAATCCTTTTCAGCCTTCATAGAGGGTTTCATTTGTGCAAATCAAGGAAGTATTGTAATTAAAGAAAACACTTTCAGCACAAGATTCATTTGACCTTTGCCAATGGGTCCCCCAGGACTAATGTTCCATCTGTAGCATAGATTTACTCTGTATCTAATCTGTGAACATTGGCCAAAGGGGGACATTCATTTTATAGAATTTCAGTGTTCTACCGGGAACGTTCCCAGAGGCCATCGGGTCCAACCCATACCAGAAAAGCATTTTCTTCTAGAACATACAAGTGCATGAGACCACAAACTGAGAGCTGTAAGGGACCTTACATGTTGAGTCCAAATCTCTAATTTTACAGATGAAAAAACTGAGGCTCACAGAAATTATAACTGGCCCGAGGTCACATGGGTAGTAAGGCAGCATCTCAACCCAGGTTAGGTCATCCAGCCTCTGTCTGAAGACCTCCTGAAAAGGGGAACAGGCCATTCCACTTTTGCATAGCTCTAATTGTTAGGAAGTTTCCCCTTATTTCTAGCCCCTTTGCAATGCCCACCTGTTGCTCCCAGATCTGCCCCCTGGAGCCAAATAGAATCAGTCTAATCCTTCTTCCAGGTGACTGGTTTTCAAATACTTGAAGACAGATATCATGTCCCTCTCCCCCTCCCCCTCCCCTAGGTATTCTCTTCTCCAGGGTAAGCATGCCCAGTCCTGTCGACTCGTCTTCCGATGGCATGATCTTGAGGCCCTTCAGCACCTGCTCATCCTCTTTGTCCTCTCAAGCTGGTTATTGTCCTTCCCAAGGTGTGATGTACAGAACACGATACAGATAATGTGTTCTGAGCATGCCGGAGTAGAGCAGAATGAACACCTCCTCGCTCCTGGAAGCCCAAGACTGCATCAGGTTTTTTTTGCCATCTCATACAGTTGACTCATCTTGGACTTGCAGTCCATTACCAGCAACCTCTAGATCTTCTTTGGGCCTAGGGCTCCCTGGACATGCCATTCCCATCTGGAAGCTGTGAGGCTGAGGTTTTGAACCAAGATGTCAGACTTTTACATTTATTCCTGTTATGTTTCAGCTTATTTGATTCAGCCTACTGTTCTAGAATCCTGCTTTAGTTATCAGTGTGTTGTCTCTCTCCCAGCTTCATCCTGTCTAAAAATCGAATCGACATACCATCTGTTGTTCCTTTATTCAAGGAATTGTTAAAAATGTTAAGTAGCATGGGACTGAGGAGGGCAGCTAGGTAGTGCAGTGGATAGAGCTCCTGGGACCTGGAGTCACGAAGACCCAAGTTCAAATCCAGCCTCAGATACTTGCTAGCTGTATGACTTTGGGCAAATCACTCAACCCTGTTTGCCTCAGTTTCCTCATCTGTCAAATGAGCTGGAGAAGGAACTGGCAAACCCCTCCAGTATCTTTGCCAGGAAAACCCAAAAGGGGTCATGAAGAGTAGGACACAACTAAATAATAACAATGGGACCTAGGACATTCTACTTTACTGCTTCCATCTTCTAAGCTAGTAGTTCTCAAACTTTTTGGTCTCAGGATCTCTCTCTCTCTCTTTTTTTTTTTTCAGCCAAAGACAAGGTTTATTAGAACATCAGTCACATTGGGCAGACTCTTAAGGAGTCTGAATGATAGTGAGTATTGGCTAGATTATAAGAATCTGAGCTCAGGATCTCTTTAAACTCTTAAAAATTATTGAAGACCTCCAAAGAGCTTTTGTTCATGTGGGTTATAGCTATTGATATTTACTATATTAGAGAAAGACATCAGTATTATTACAAAACTATATCGTGGACCCCTAAAAGGGTTTCAGGGAGCTATCAAGGTCCCTGGTCCACACTTGAAAACTTTAATTTTAGACGTCTTTCAATACTCTTAATTGGTTGGTGAGTTTCCTGTGCATTGGTTTCTTTGGACAACAACTTCTTCCTTCACATCACATCTCTTTGTTTCTCTCAAATGTCATTTTGGGGAGTTTCCCAAGTTCTCTCTTGGGCTGGAATAATTCTTCTATAGTAATCAACTTGAATGCATTGGGTCCTACCTTTGAATCTTTTAAAATCTGTTCTCCTCAAGTGCCTGATAGAGAATCCATCAAAATGTTTGTAACTTATCCTTTCGCTATCACTAACACTAAGAAGGAGTGATCACTTTACTTTCCCTCAAGGTTTTCATTATTTCCACGTCAACAACCAATTTCTTTCTGTTGATTAGAGTCAAACCAAAAATAGAATTTCTCTTTGTAGGCTCCTGGGTGGTTGACCAGTGTTTCTTTACTGACTCGAAGTCATGAAGACAGGGAATCTAATGAGATGGGGAAAGCTAAGCCAGAGGGTGGATCACAAGATGAGACTAGCAAAGACAGGTCTAGAAACTGGTCCTCCAGCTGTGCTCACTGCAATTACTCCTGTCTGGAGTTCAGAGAGGTAATATTGTTGTTTAGTTGTGTTCAACCCCATTTGGGTTTTTCTTTGCAAAGATACTGGAGTGGTTTGCCATTTCCTTCTCCAGCTCATTTGACAGATGAGCAAACTGAGGCGAATGGGGCCATGTCACAGAGTCACACAGCTAGTAAGTGTCTGAGGCTGGATTTGAACTCACAAAGATGAGTCTCCCTGACTCCAGGCCTGGTACTCTATCCACTGAGCCACCTAGTTGTCTCTCAGAGAGGTAAGGAGAGCAATGCAAAGGGAAGAATGAGATACCACTTGTAAAGAATGGGCCTTGGTAAAAATGGCTTCAGGAGATTATAAAATAGAGTAGTATACAGAAACAAGCCTAGGTTCTTTCTGGGAGGGAAAAATTAGTAGCATTACTTTCCAGTGCATCTAATACTTTCCAGTGTCTTGTGTGAATCATGGACTTTACTATCCTTCAAGCAGACAAAGGTCTAAGCCAGGGGTGGGGAACCTGTGGCCTTGAGGCCACTTGTGACCCCCTAGGTCCTCGAGTACGGCCCTTTGAATCCAACCAGGGCTGCACTTGAGGACCTAGAGGGCTACAGTGGCCCCTGGCCCTTTCTAAAAGGCTAAGCCTGGTTATTTGTAGGTAAGCCTGAAACAGTTAAATGAGCTATTGACAAGTTTTCACAGACCTAATTTCTAGTCTTCAGGCTGTAATCCATGTATGATAGCTATCTATCACTATGCAGGAAACCTTGGGCAAGTAGATTTATATCTCTGAACCTCAGTTTCCTGATCCTAAAAGGGTGAGGTTCACATCATAAAGTCTATGCAAAACATGAGATGAATGTAAGATACTCTTACAGTGTTCTCATAGAAGGAGAATTAAGTAGAATCTTTTTCTTCAGGTTAGGGTTGCTCACTAGCAGAAAAGTTAAGTCCTATATTTTTAATGACCTTTTGCCACATAAGGTGCACTTTGGAGGAATAGCATCAAACCAGCCAGGTTGGTGTTGGGTTCCTATCTAAGATAATTCATCATGGAAACATTGATTGATCTCTTCCTGTCTTAGGAGAATGAGACATTCCTGTTTGGGGAAGATGGGCTAGATAACTAACTCCTCAGACAGCCTCATCAGCATATCCTCCATGGGAGGAGCTTTTTGATTTGAAAATCAAAAGCCCAGAGAAAGCTGAGAAACATGACCCCGTCAACCACTGGGCTCAGAATTTAAAGACAGAAGTGGTCTGAGCACAGATAACTCTCAACTTTAATGTTGGTTGAATGAATTAATGAACTTTAAACCAGTGCGGAGCTATCTATCATGACTAGTGATGAATTACAGGCTTATGTACACAGACCAGTTCCAAATCAGCCTTGCAGAGAATTATAAAGCATTTTATTAGCTCACAAATCTTCCTTCCCTGCTAAAAGTGCAGAGACAGTAAAGTGAATCAAATCATTGCTCGTTAATGTACATCTTGTAAAGCTTCTACTTGTCCAGGGCAAGTAGTTATTTGCTTTTCACCCTCATTCCCATCCTTGCACCAGTGACTAGGGATTTCACTAAAGACACACCAGCAGGCTTTGGGTAGAGGAGTCTGCTCGGTTGGATGAGTGGCTGTTGGCAAAGATGATGGCCGTTCTGCACTCACTATAAACTGTGCACTTGAATTCTCCCTCCTAATATTCCAACCAACCCAACATCCATGTACAGACCACTAGGGTAGCCAGCCTAGACCCCTTCCATACCTGGCCTTTATAGTTTTTTTATTTGTTAGACTCCGTCTATAAAATTCCAAATTTGTTGAATCTTGCAAAATGACAAGTAAAGCCCTTTTACCCTTTTGTCCCCAAGGCTATCAGATTTTGCAAGTACCTTTTGCATAGTGCTAAGAACCCTTAATGAGTGAAGGTAAAACCATTATTAAGATGGAAATGCTAGTGGAACAGAGAGAATAAACAAGTATGCAATATTTTCCCACCCAGAAGGGTGGTCTCTCAGGGGCAAGTGATCCTCCCTTTTTAATCTTTCTCTTTATTTTTTTCAAAGGGCTCTGGGAGCAGGTGAAGCATGTGTCTGGGAGGACTGACCACAGTCCCATGGGAAGCCAGGATCTACAGCCAAGACCCATGCTCACAGCATCGGAGAGCATTGAACAAAACAGACTAATGCCAGATGCATGTGTGGTAAATTACCTGGACCTAACCCACCCAATGACTGGGACTTTTTCCTCCTTCCTTTTCCTCAAGATTTTCACCCTACTCTGGATGCTTTGTGGTTTTTTGTTTTTGTTTTGTTTTTAAGAAGAGGCTCTCTCTTTGGTTCTCTAGGGTTTGACAGGCACAGACCCCAGAGCTAATCTTTGCACATGTTAAGAGAAAATAAAAATTAAAAAAAAATGTCAACTCCAGCAGGACAGGTTGGGCTGATCTGAGCTCTCTGCCGGATAACAGCAATCACTGTTTTCAAACTGTTCCTTACGATGGGATTCCTCAGTCTGCAAGGTGGGAATTATGAGGCAGGACAGCCCCCTGTGGCATCCTCTTCCCTAACTGCTCCCATCCAAATGTGACATCCCTTTACACGCTGGTGAAAAGCCATAGTTTTAGTGAGGATAAAGTGGTAGGCTGGGCCAAGGCTGTTCTGCAAGAGGCTTTTGAACTTTAAGCACCTGTTAAGTTGGCCAAACGGCAGCCGTTCATTGTCTCATTTTTTCCAGGAGGCTGTTCTGCCTAAGAAGTATTTATGAACAATAGATGCAAAACCCAAAGTCTCTTTGTAAAGAGGGTTCACCTGAAAATGCAGTCAAGTGATTTTTTTTGTGAACCGGCAACCTGGGTAAGGCTTGTTCACCAGCTCTAATGGAGTCTTACAGAAATCTTTATGAGGCCATCCATCCGTGGTCTTTTTTTCCCCTTTAGTTGTAGGAATGAGAAGTATTCTTGTTTCCTTTGAAATAAGGACAATTCCCCCACCCCATACTCAACAACTGTCCATATCTTTCTTTGACCTATATAAGGAAAAATGCAATCCAATGAAAAGCTCATCAGTACTTCTTTTCTTCCCCTTATTGGTACTCAGAGGTAGCACTCTGAACATTTACTTATAATCCATTGACATATTTGACATAATCCATTAATGACAGGCAGGATTGATCTTCTTGGTCCACAAATTATCGGGATGCACTTAGTAGGACCAACTACCCAGCCTTGGGACAATTTTACATCTTCTGTAGATGGCTATTAAAATCCAGGCAGATGATTTTTTTTTTGGGGGGGAGACTTTTATAAAAATACATGGAAAGAGGATTCAGGGAAGAAAGTTATTTTCTATTTGAGCTATGATGTTCTTGGACCAGGGGTCAGGAGAGAGAATTAGTAGCACTCTCCTTGCTGTCTAAGATGCTCTACACGATTACCTAGAAGCCTAGCATGCATACTTTAAGCTGCAAAAAGTACATTTCCTCCTCCCCTTCCCCTTCCCCACCTGCCCTATAAAGGAGCCTGAATGCTCTGTCCACCTCACCTTAGACTGCCAAGTGTTAAACCAAGGCGACTTGGTGATGCTTGCTATAACTGATACATATTTTAAAAGCAGCCTTTTCATACCTATGTATTCTATATTAAAAGTGGTAAAAAGTCATGTTTCCGGGGAGTATTCCAGTAGCTGACTTAATTATTTAATAATAGTACATTGATTACATTGTAATTATTCTTGCTGTAGTCAGGTATTAGTAACCGATGGAAATTTCCTACAAACCTGCTGTATCCAAAGTTTTGTAAAAAGTTGTAGAGGTTGTTGATCTTTTTGATTTTATATTCAAAAGAATTCTCTTTTTATAAATATTATTTATTATACAATGTATATACCTTTGAGTTAACTAAGATTATATATTATATAAATATATTATATATATATTTGGAGAAAATATATTTCATCATGCAGTTTTTTTTTTCTGTTAAGTCATTAAAGAGAAGGTAAACAAACTTAAAACTGACACGTGGTTATAGTCTGTGTACTTTACAGATGAACTCTCACAAAGCCAAGAATATGAAATTCCAAATGTGGAGACCTCAGCTTTCTTCTGGTCCCTGGCCCCAGCCCAAGATTCTTTTCCCTACTCTGTGGAAGAATATTCTAAACATATCACATAGTAAAATTTGAGCTACTAACAATGTAAAGTTACCAGAGGCAACCTCCTGCTTAAATAAACTCAATATACATAATTTACAAGTTGTAAAATTGATAACATTGGGTACTGACTAAATTTATAGAGCCTGATATCTTATATTTAAGGACCTTTCAGCCTGAACAGCATTATATGTTAGATTAGCAGAATCTTCTGCTAAGCTGAACTTTTGCAGCCTGATTTAAAAAAAAAATCAGATGTTATATTTCCTTCCATAAAAAAGGAAGGGAATCTATATTCTGGAAATGTTCAGGATCGCCTGTCTCATCTGAAGCTGTTTTGGTTGGAAGTGGACAAAGTGGCAGTTTTGATGGTAAAGAGGAGATCCTTGGGTCAAGAATGTACCATAAAATTCTGGAAGTTCCACTGGACTGCTCACCAATTTAATCCCTTCTACACAAAATGTTTTCAATTTATAGTCTATTGGGAATTTTTATGAGGGAAGTCTATAGAAATACAGGATTTGCTTTGCAGGCACCTCTGATACAACTGTGACTATTTTGTAAAATAAGATATGATGGTATATGAGAATGTTCTGTAAAATGTCACTAAAAGTAGTTTGCTCTGGGCCCGACCATAAGGAATAAGTCATAGAATGAAGATGATGGCCGGTGAGTGGGGAATGACATTTCAGGTCTCTTGATTTCATGGAAAACATTATAATTTCTAGATTGGCTTGAGCAGTAAGAGTAGCAATTCTCAGTAGGTGTATTCCAGGTGGGTGGGTTTTTGTTTCTTTGGTTTAAAGTCCAAAGTTAATCTATAAAGCATGAGATTCTATAATTCAGAATAGGGGATGGTTCTTCCAGTCTTTAGACCCAATTGCAAAACTCCACCTTTAATATATATAGCAACTCTCTCTGAAGCTCAAAAGTGCTTTCATATTTACATTATACTATTTATTTATTCTGCACTTTCTCTTATCAGACAACCTTTACAATTTACACTAATCAGGACAGAGGATGGACCGATGTTTTATCAGTATACCCCTAAGAGTTTGGAGAGAATGTTTTTCCATTCTTTTGTAACTCACTCATTAACATACTTGGTTATATATCAATTTTGATCAATTTTAATCAGACATCATCAGGATTACTGTGTCCTTCTAAGGTAGCACATCTCCCAGAAGACAACTTGGGGGAAACTGAGCCATAGGAGGATGAGGTGAAAGAAACAGCAATGTTTAACTTGGAACGGTGAAGACACAGGATCTGGGGGAAGTGGGGAGGCTGTGAAGGGAACACGACAGTTGTCTCATTTGAAAAGCTGTCATCTGGGAGAGATTATGTTCTGTGTAACCCCAGAGGGCAAAACTATCAGCAGTATGTGGAAGTTAAAGACAGTCGGATTTTACTTCGATAGAAGGAAAGTTTCTCAATAACTGGAACTTTGCAAAAGTGGAATGGGCAGGAGGTAGTTGCAACCCTCCCCTTCCTCCTCATTCCTTAAGGTCTTAACATAGGGGTGGACAACCAGTCTGTGTGAATCTGTGTGATCTCTCTCTCTTACAGACTGATGAAAGGCCACTGACAAATGGCAGCGTGCCTTCAGGAGACTCACCAGCTCCTAGCAAGATAGGTTGAAGGAACTAAGGAATTTAATTTGCCTCATTTTGTAAGCAGAATAACTTAGGTACAGTTTCATGGGTGACAAAATGGCCACAGAGACTTAACAAAAAGCCAGGAAATAAGATCCTCAAGAAGAGATAAAATGAAAACTAATCAGAAGGTTCATTTCAAAGTTATATCATTTACTATGGAAGAAAGAAGGGAAAATAACAGGGAGAGAAGTGCAGAGCAAAGAAGCAGCAAAGATAATGGACTAAAGCAGAGAGGGACAAAGGAGGGCTAAGCAGCAGAGGTAATGGCACAATTTTAGTGCAACTTTTTCTTTTTTTTTTTTGGTTGATGCTGGAAAGGAAATTAACTGGGGGGAAAATTATGGCTGCTGGGGCAGCTAGGTGGCGCAGTGGATAGAGCTCTAGCCTTGGAGTCAAGAGGACCTGAGTTCAAATTCGGCCTCAGACACAACACTTACTAGCTGAGTGACCCTGGGCAAGTCACTTAACCCCAATTGCCTCACCAAAAAAAAGAAGAAAAAAAGAAAATTATGGCTGCTATTGTTGATTCTCTCCTGCCTCTCATCCCATTCCCCCACCCTTTTCCCACCTCTCCCCCCCAAAAAAAGAAACTCCGAGGAGCACTTTGCGAAGAGGTGGGGCATGGTGTTTCTATTTATGTTATGCTCCCAAAGTATGGGAATTGGGACTGTGTGCAAGAAACTTTTAGTCATTGGCCTTTCTCATCCTCTTGCAAATTTTGTGCTATTTATGTTTGTGTAGTAGGGATTCTTGTTGATAAGAGGTGGTATCTTTTGAATTTGAGTGCGGTCCCTGACAGACAGCACACACACTCTCAGTGGGCTTATTTCAAGAACGTGGTCCTGGAAGCACCTGAGAGAACATAAGCTGCCTATGGTTATAGCACCTCAATTTAAAATTCAGGTACAACCTTCATATTACTGGTACAAAACCTTCATTGCTCCACCGCTTTGAAGAGGCTTGCAACCAAGCTAGCAGGGAAAGAAAAGGAAAGAATGCTGATTCCACCTTCGTATTTAGACTGGAGTTGTCCTTCACCTGGGACTACAGGCTTTGAACAAAATGTGCTCGCCATCAGTTGTGTTCAGCTACTGAAAAGCTGGGTTTAGTGATCTGTGGTGGAAACTCAAAGGAGTTTCAAAATACCTGTATTTAAAAAAAAAATGAAAGGATTCCCTGAAGCAAAGCATTATTTTAGAGGTAATTATGCTATGTCCAAGGCTCTGCTAATGCTAGCTCCAAAAGGCTCATGAGAGCTGATGGTCAAATTTTCAATATGAGAGCATTTACACCCTGGAAATCTGCATCTGCTATAAATCAAGGCTTGATTTACTGTTTTGATGATTGTTTAGACTTAGGAAAGTGATGAAGAAAATACTAATAAAGTAGATCAAATGGCAAAGTGTGTCATACACACTGCTCCCACCACCCCCACCCCCAAGAGCTGATTGTTAAACATTGATCAGCACACCACTGGTTATATCCCTTTCTATAGTAACAAACAGGCAAACAGTATAAAGCATAAGTCACTGTCTGGCCCAAAAGTGAAGGGTGAGGACTGAAGGGTTTGGGAAGTGGTGTGAATAAGGTGAAAAGCATTCTCTTTTTCTGAAGTTTTAAAAGAAATTTGATAGAAATCACTTGCTGATTGTTCATCTAGGGAGGAAGACAGATGCCACCAGTCCCCTGTTGTTCCAGAAATCAGTTGTGTGTTGGCTAACTTCAGATATGTAATTGCCTGGTTCTTGCTTTTAAGCCATTCTTTTGGAGAAATCTGCTGAGATTCCCAAGGGAGTGGATTCACTCCGGAGTTCTCAGATGCTCTTAGAGACTCCCCAGACAGTGTTAGAGAGACACCCCAGCCACCCCCAGAATTCTCCAGGATGTCTCAGGAAAACTCTACCTCGGGACCCAAGACTTCTGGGATAGTCTGGGTCCTAATTTGGTCACTTAGGGCTTCAGTGTTACTCTGAAGGAGTTTAGGCAGAGAGATTCCATACCACAGGAAAATGCAAACAGAGTAATAAAACCAAAAGCAAAAAAAAAAAAATCTCAGAGGGACACCAAAATTTACCACGAAAAGAGCTGTGAAGAACCCCTGTGGAAAGATTGGAACTGCTTGCTTTGTGTGCTTCACAGAAGGGTATAGCTCTAATTAAGAATCTTTCTAACTTCATTACTGACTTATTGCCTGGCTTCTGTACCTCAGTTTCCCAATGGGAAAAATAAAATAAAGCACTCGCAATTTTACTTGTAGTGTACCTTTTTTATACATAGCTGGTGATTCTTGGCAAAAAAAAAAAATCGACCCCTTACTCTATTGTCCACCCCTTGAGACTGAAGTGAGTAGCTTCTCTTGCTATCTTAATTCTCTTCACAACGGAGCCGAGAGACTACTGGCTACTTGAGCAAAGTCACGAGGCTGCCAAACTTTCCAAGTATATGTGCTATTTATTGCATCCAGTCATTGGCATTAAATATAACATAGTTCTCAATATATCCTTGGACAAAAGCACAATAAAAACATTTACGTCATTTAACCAGAGACATTAAGTTAATATAATATGTGCTGATTTCCTGGGAAGAGGAAGTTGCAAGATCTTACACAGAGAGGGGTCACCATGGATACTGGCCACTGGAAATCACAGATTTTCACAGTATACATCACTTAAAATGAACAGAGGATGAAAACCCCAAAAGAAAGCTGATGATGTGCATAAGACTATACTAAAAAGATATCCACAAGGCCTGGAGAATGGTTTGCTCTCCCCCCAGCAGGACAAATGACAGAGACCCACGTCACGCTGGGCTCGCAAGCTCCGGCAGCGAGGCTGGCCAGGCTAGCATCAAGCTCTGTCACTCGGCTGTGGGTTGTCTTCCCTTTGAAGGTGGGGGTAGGGGAGAAAAGTGGCATGCTCTACAAGCCTCATTACCAGATGAGCTGACCTAATTAAACACATTCTAACTCAGTTATCAGAAAAGTCACCAAAAAGAAATGAATGCTGATTGCCTTGTCCCTTTTGGAAGGAACAGGCAGATGACAACTGAAATCTGACATACTTGCTAGAATGAAACCAAAAGATT